ATTTATAGGAAATATCAATATACCTCAGCTAACCTAACCTAAAACTCGAGTCTTTTATTATTTAACAAAACAATATTATTTGTACTCGCTGAAATTCATTTGAGTATACAAGAAATGTCTAATATATTTATTATTCTTTACAAACGCAATGTTTTGGCTGCTTACACAAGTAAACTTTAAATGCATTGTTGAAATAAGTGGGTGTAAAAATAAGAGAAACTACTCCATGCATGATAAATGTGTATACTATATAATTTCATTATAGCTGTATAATACTGTCGGCTTTTTTAATCTTTCTTGTCATGTCTCATTTCATATTGTTCTGTGCCAGTGCCCACGTTCTCCGGTAGGTGGCGATTGTTAAATAAGCTCGACAATCATAAATATAAGAACGAGTTGGTAATATTATTGTTAGCATTATAAAAAAAACATGTTTTCCATATTAGTAATATTAATAACAATCATAGCGCAACAATTTTTGCCATTCTAGATTTGAGATTTTCGTGTTTATAGTCCAACAACTTTTTCAAGGAGAAAAAAAAAACTAAAAAGTAGAAATTCTTGTTCTGTTTTATTTGAGGAGTAGATGACAAAATCAAAACATTTTTGTCCGTGGATTTGAATGTTCAATTTTCATTTATCAACAAAAAAAATATTGTCAGATTTGTAGAGATTTCTCTACAACTTAGGTATATATCACGTGAATTTTATAAAAATATGTTTTTTATTGCAGTTATCAATAAGGCCAAAAGAGTTTGTGAAAGAATAAGATAAAAATAGCAAAACTGTATTTAATTCTCTACAACAAGTTGGCGTATTATAAATTGTAACCTATAACGCGCTAAATATAGCAATGCAGGCAAATCTCAATATCGTAACTATTTGAGATTACATAGATATTTATAGAGATATTATTTTTCTATGACTTTATATACCATACTGGAAAGTGTGATAACAAAATTAGGCAGCTCAATTTTATCAACTTTTCAACCGTTTCTAATAAAAGTAAGTAGTGTATACTTATAAATCGTGGTTGTATAAATATCAATCCATAGGAAAAAGATTTTTCGTACCTACGATCTCATAATTGTGAGTAACACTACTAAAAACTTGTTTAGTCATTTTTTGTCTTTTTTAGTGCATTTTTTAATATAGTGACTAGTAAAATCAAACTAACGAAGAGACGGTGTCGATAGCTAATGTTCAAAACAGGTGACAAGCAACTGTCACTGTTCATATTCATTCATCGGACTGGATAGACTATAATTATTATCCGTGGATTAGACTGTCTATCCTTAGTCAGTTTAATTCACTGGTGGTTCTTTTGCTGAAAATAAATAAACTAATTACGGTTTGAAGATCTAAGGTATCGCTCATCCGCACTGATAAAAAAGATAGACTTGAACTAAAGTCGTCATCGTTCTTGAAAAAAAAATTAGTGGCAAGAGAATTTATTTTAGCGTAAAAGAAAATATTTTGCCTGAAGCAAAACTCTCTTAACTCAAGAAAACTGGTTCTCTCGAAAAATTCGAAAATTTCTCTTGAATCTATTTTCATTCAACCAAGTGCAAGTTACTTTGTTTTAAGATAATAAGAAAAATACGGTAGGAAGTACTTCATTCAAGAAACATGGCAATTTTTCCAATAGCTAAATACTCTTTTGATCAAAAATAATAACGACACCAAAGACGATGACGAAGGACGGTATATATAATCAGTCGGCAGTCCGATCAGTCGTACGTCGCATTTCATAGTACGCACGGGTTTTGTTGCTTGGAATTTTCCACTTGGAATTTTGCATAATTTGCTTTTTAAACGCATAACGTATAACAAATTAGTGATCGTTATTAACATGCATTTGTCATTTTTTATGGACAAATTTTAGGATATATGGATTCTTTAAAGGTGTTTCTGAAAAAATGGAAATTAGAAATTAGAGCAGTTATTTGCTATATATGAAGGTAAGAGATATTTACCTAATGCACCTGTTTACATAATGCATGCGTGACTATAGATAGAATAAGAATATAGGTACCGATTTTTTTATGCAAATAATTACAAAAATTTTAGAATTTCAAGTCGTTGTATTAAAAAATTCAAAATGTGACCAAAGCTTATAATTTTAATAATTTATTTGCTTTACTTTGATTAATCGTGATGTAACATTTTTTTGTAATTTGTAGAGTGATGAACCACCCCAAAAAATACCAGGGAGTGAAGAAGCAGAAATAACTACTGTCGATGAAAATAATATCACTTTACTTACTACAGACCAGGAAAACCTAAATTTATCAGAAAATAATATACATCGTAATATGCCTGTATATGATGTATAGACTTCTCTTAGATCAAAATAAATTTTAGTTGAGTCAATAGTATTCGCTATTGGTTTAAGAAAAGTGTCTCTTTAATCAAGAAATATCCCTTTTCAATGAAGAATTTTTGCATGAATCAAAGAGACTATTGTTCTTGTAGCAAGAACTTCTTTGCATATTAATTTTGTGTCAAGAGTGAAATACTTTGGACAGATAGATTCTTCTATTCTCTAAAGTAATTTTTTAGAGCTTATGAAAAGATAGTTAATGCTTGGGCAAAGAAACGTCGTTCTTGGCCCTATTGAAAAGCGCCAATCTTTTGGGTCAAAGTCATATTCATTTCGACAGAGAGATCCTTTTTTTTTCAGTGCGCCACTGCAAATTGTGTAAGCAAATCGTAAAAAAATATAATGATCGAAGATGCAGGACACATTCTATAATTATTAATTAATAGACAAGAATTCCCGTCAAATAAAACAAATTGCGGCAATAACTTCAAACCTCTATTTTTGTTATTTTGATAAATTATATATCATCTAAAGTTATTGAGCTATTTAAAATTCCTTCTTCGTTGTCGAGATAAGTTTTCGTGGAACTGTACCATGTTAATCCAACAGTACCGTTGCCCACACGCACACTTACACACTCACACAGAAGCCTTCCTCTCTCTTTTTCGCTCTTATTTCGACGACAAGAGATTAGAGAGATAGCTGTATAAGATTTAGATTTGCGTATATGTCATAAAGCCACGCCAAGGCGCGTTTTCTCCTTTCAGATCGTATCTTGAAGCACTATGTCTTATCTGCTACTAGAGAATTCAGAATAATTGTAAATTATAATTTAGTTGTGTAAGGTACGAGTACATTTAGAGGTAACATGAACATGAATGCGAAATTATTAATTGCTACGAAAATACAGGGTCAAAGATCTGTATAAATATATATTTATGTAACCCAAGTTCACTATCGTTTAAAATATTGGTAAATACACACACCGGAAAAATCTAGGGATATCATTTTATTAAAGTTAAAAATAAATGTTTTGAATAAACAACCACATATTTGTAGGCCGATTCTTTCTACTTCGATTGAAACGAAGTAGTCTTCGTAACACTAGTTATTTCTAAATTTGGGATATTTGCAGAAGTGTTTGTGCATTTTTTGTCAAATGTATAAAAAGCACCTAGCAACAATTATTCGAATTTAACCTGTACTGGCTATGTTTTTATGATAACTGGCCAGAATTCATTTAAATAACTCTGTTTAGTATTAAACGACATTATGGAGCGTAGACATCTTAACAGAGACGAAATGCTAAGGGCGATGAGTATGCTAGAAGCTGGAATGAGTCAAATCGACGTAGCTAGAGCATTAAATACAACGCAAAGTGTAATATCGCGATTAAGTGCACGCTACCGTGAAAGTGGTGATGTTGCTGAAAGGCACACAGGGCGACATCGCATTACTACCCCTCAGCAAGATCATTTTTTACAATTAAATGATCGACGCCGACCGACTCTAACAGCACCAGAGCTTAGTTTAATTCTCCAGGAAACACATAATGTATCCGTTAGTCCTGACACTGTTCGTAATAGATTAAGAGAGGTCAACTTAAGAAGCAGACGCCTCTGGAGAGCTCAACCCTTAACGAGAGGAAATCGAGAGGTACGATATTTGTGGGGTTAAGATCATGTTCAGTGGTCGAATGAACAATGGGCCAATGTTCTCTTCACGGATGAGTCACGCTTTGGAATTCATCCGGATTCGAGAAGGCTTAGGGTATGGAGAGAACCGGGAAATCTTCGGAACCGAAAATTCGGTTGGATCATGTTCAGAAAGTGCACCCTTATCAAGGTGGAACAGTTATGGTCTGGGGAGGAGTTCAGTTAGGCCGAAAAACCGATCTCGTTTTTCTTGAAAGGTTTCTAACAGAGCCTATCGAGTTACCATATGCCAATGATTTTGGGAGAAACTTCATTCTCATGCATGACAATGCACGGCCTCATACAGCCAGAGTGGTAAGTGAGTTTATCAATGCCCATCAATTAAACATCTTACCCTGGCCGGCACAATCTCCTGACCTCAACCCCATCGAGCACGTATGGGACGCGGTCCAAAGAAGAATTTTGAGAATGGGTATGCCTCGTGAAACTCGTAGGGATCTGGTTCGGGCCGTGAATGCAGCGTGACATCAGACTGTACCTCAAGAAGAGATCGACAACCTGATCAGGAGCATGGAGAGACGATGTAGGGCTGTAATGAACAGTAGAGGAGGCCATACCCTTTATTAAGTAAAAATGGTTTTATCTTTTTTTTTAATTCACAGTTTAGAATTAAAAAAAAATGTGTGTATTTTTTTGAGTTCAATAAAAATCAAGGTAAATTTGAAAAATTCGGTAAATTTCGCATTTTTATTTCCAATACGTCCTGTAAACTATTTGTTTATTTTAATTTTATTGTATCAGAAATGCAAATAATACAATTTCTGACGATGGCTGGATAAAACTGTAATATCCCTAGACTTTTCCGGTGTGTGTATATTAAGAACACCCTAGTATACTTTTTCCTTAAAGTTCGTTTATACTGGTTGTTTTTACGAAATTACAATTTGATGTTATAAGTCTAAAAAAATAATCTATCTAAATATCTAAATTTAAGTAATTTAAATTGCTAAGTAAATACTTACATTAGATATTCTGCTGTTTCACTTTCATGTAGCTGAATATATTTTGATGTTGGAAATCTGAAACAAAAGCAAAGACTTTAGAAAATCATATTCCTGTTTTATATAAATACAATTATAAATACAACTTTTTCTGATTTTTTGAATCCAAAAATTAATTCCATAATGCAGATATTTTGCTGAAATATCTGCATTAAAAAAGCAACAAACCAGATATATCTATTCTTAAATAAAATATGAGTATTTTATACAAAATTACAAAAACGAATCTTTGGCAGGTAAAGTTTTATTAAATTTTTACGAAAAAAAAGTGTCTTAAAATTATATCGATTTTGAAAAGCATTGATAATATATAATCGAAAATAAGGCGTCATGTTGCACTTGGAAATTAAGATCGCAGCCGTTTTATATGTAAATTGGAATTTCGAAGCCAATTTGGTGCAATTTTTAAGTAATATTTATACTTAAATTATTTTACAACAAATTTTAATTAGTATGGTTATATGTTTCCAGTTGGCCAATTATTTTGTATTCAACAAAATAAAATCAAAATCTGTTTTTGCGTCAATATTTTAATGCCTCTAATAACTTTTTACAAAACCGTCCGTTTACCAAAAGTGCATTTCAATCGCTATAATCATTGGAAAATACTTCATACGCGTATTACAATCCATGGTTAAAAATGTTGAAAAATTAAACAGTTTTTAGTTATTTAGGTTATTACAGGATTCTTTAGTACCGTAAAATCTAAGTACTTAGTTAATATTATTTTTTTTCTGATCTGGGAGTATCCCGCTTAACACCCCACTTTCTTTGTCTAAGCTTTTCCCGGATATTTTATTTTTTAAGTTGTTGAGATGTTTTAGGCACTTGTCTATCGAACATTCTCACTATTATTCTTTGGAGAATCGTTTTAAAAGTATTCAAACTCCCTTCCTTTTCAGTCTTAGTAAATAGTACTTCCAGAGCCCGTTAATTTGGCAGCCAGGATTATTATTAACATGGTGGTTGTTTTTGGTAGAAATTTCTTTTTTCACATTGTTCAAATTCAGGCCGAACAGAATATATTTGTTGTGGATATATTTTGAATTGTTCAATGTAGATCTAATAGCATCAATTTGAAATATTTCCTGTGTTTATATGTTGATACTACTTGCGTTTCCCCAGATTCCTATTCTGTTTGTCCAAACAGGTTTTAGAATAGTTTTGTAGATACTTATTTGAATTTAAGCGTTTGTTATTTTTATTGACTTCTTCGTGCTGAATAGTAGTTTGGAGTATGATAAAATTTATTAAAATATCTCTGGTTTGATTATTACGCTGATACAAATGTTCGTTGATAAGTAATATTCGTAAATAAGTTAGCTGTGTGCACAACTTTAATATCTTTCTTAAAAAAATATGATTTTTTTGCCTCTCATACATAAAAATTATTTTATGGAATTTATCATATAAAATGTTAACTATTAAAATTAATATTTTAAAATTACTTGTGACAACGATAAAATTATAGGTTGACAAATTAATGTATATCTCTCTATCTATCTATAAAATATCTCTGCATTGGATAGGATCAAACAGCAATAAAACAGGAAAATGAATAAATACAAACACGTAACGAATACAAATACCTAGGCGTTACTTTCGATAAATCCGGGAAAGACGACAACGAAATAAGCTCGAGAATAGTCAAGGCAAGAAATGCAATAAAATGGTTGAATAATATACCCTGGAGTAACGAAATAGGTAAAGACAGAAAACTAAGAATTTATTAAAAGAAGAATAAAAAAGACTCAAAGTCTCGGTCTCAACGTTTATATTAAATTAAACATTGACACGTGTTTCGCTCATACGAGCATCATCAGACAAATACAATAAAAGTCAATCCACACACACGTTCACATTTTACATATTAAAACAACACTCGAATATTGTGGATTGACTTTTATTGTATTTGTCTGATGATGCTCGTATGAGCGAAACACGTGTCTCTGTTTAATTTAATATAAACTTTGAGACCGAGACTTTGAGTCTTTTTTATACTTCTTTTTAATTTAAACTAGGTCTCTTTGAGAAAAATGGACGCCTTATTAAACTATTAAGAACTTATAATGCGATAATCAAGAGCAATCTGTTATTTGGGGCGGAAACATGGAGGTTAACAGAAAATAACAAAAGAAAATTACTGGCGGTAGAAACGGACGCGATATGGAGATTAGCACGAACATCAGAGCTGGATAGAGCAGGAAACGAGACCGGGGATCAGGGTCAAAATGGGTAGAGAAAAAACTATAAAGTGACTATAGAGTGCCCAACTGAAGTGGTATAGACATGTGAGAAGGATGGACAACACGCGACTGCCTCAGAAGATACTAAACTGGCTTCCACAAACCACAAAAGAGAAGGAACGGGGAAGACTAAGGACAAACTGGATGGAGAGCGTCAAGAAGGCGATGAGCTCAAGGGATCTGCATGACGGAGAATGGAATGAACGAAATTAATGGCCACTAGGAATCGCACAACGTCGAAGGATGTTTTAAAAGCGATTCTTATTATATAAATTAATGTATGTTGGCATTTGCCTGATTTGCATTATTACCTGTATATTTTTAACTTAAAAATAGATGCATATTTTCTTAAATTAGTTAAAATCGGCCTGTGTAAATTTGTTGACAATATTCAGACAGTTCAAAATTTGAATGGTATTTTGTTTGTTTCCAACAACGATGCACCACCCGGTATACATTTTTTGTTTATTTTTGGAGTGCGTCAGTTTTCGACAATTGTTTATTTATTGGAGATCAAATGATTTATTTTTTCAGTATAGAAAAAAACTAATAATCCTAAAAAAGTGCAAATTCAATTAACGTTAAGTACTTAATAACGAGGAAGCCGACAATTTCTTGTAGAGCGAGAGAAATTTTCCCATTAAACGTCTTCATTCGATTGCGGCATCTCGCAGATCGCTCTCCTATACGTTTGTTTTTTAATTCCACGTTATTAAGTGGTGTTCTGAGCTAACGGTGTCCGGCGGAAAAGATGGCCACCAGTACGCGACCGGTTAAAAAACTAGTTAGTACTTCCTTCGAGTGTTTATCATCTTCGTTCGTCGTGTTTACACTGCCATTTAGCATATTTTCTTCGTAATAGGAAAGGTAACTGAACTTTTAGACATATGTCGCGCTTTAGATGACCGACGGACGGCGTGCTGCTCCGCGGCAACACCACCTCAAATATTAGGCCACAATAAATAATGTTGCGTCATAATTACAAATAGTATGCAATATAATCACAGCATTTTAAGTTCGAGCCTGCTTTTTCTTATGACAGAAAAACAAATCTTATGGGAAATTGCATTAGAATTTTTTTTAAGGAAAAGTCAAAGTCAAAGTTCCCTGTGGATTAATCAATTTTTAGATCATACTTGATGATACTTATGTTAGTTATCGTGGACAACAAAAGCTACTAGAGTACATCATGTTTTTTTATTAAGTGGACTTTGAGTTTGGCAGTTAAAAAATAAAGTAATTTTCTATAATATTTCATTAAATGTTACCGTGTAACGCACTGTTGATCATAAAACTTTCATACTATATCTCATTCAGTTAGATATTTGTAAACTACCAGAAGACCTCGCATACTCAAACTTGGTGGTAGCAAAATATTCCCAAGATGGAAATAATTGTTGGAAATAATTATAATGATTAAAGAGCGAGAGATATAGATATTTCAGGATTCAGTAACAAAACACTTACTGTTTATTGTTTAAATTTCATGATTTACGATTCATAAAAATCAGTGCAATCAGAGATGCCAATACGACGAGAAGAGGTCATTAAATAACATATTTTTTAATGTTTGTTGTTCCTAGAACCAATAAATACTATTCTTTGGATGTGGTAAACAATGGATCAGTATTAACACTAAAATAATTTCGGACTTCCATTGTAATTGATATATCTGACTGAAACGTTCTATAATTTGAAATGTCCAGAGTTCAGAAAATGTCCAGAAGTACGAAATTCTTTTAGTATCAATAAGTACTTTATACAGGGTGAGTTTTCTACGATGTTCTCTATGGGTATCTCGGAAACTACTGGAGATGAGTCGGTTAAATGGGAAAAGAATTGCAGTTTTGTGGGGTCATAAATATGCGCCTTTCAGATTTTGGAAAAGGTTCATGGCTTACTAGATATTTCGAAAAAAACATATTTTGGCTATTTTGAAAACTGTCCCTAATTCCATTATAAGCTATTTTAGACAAAAAGTTTTCAGATAAAAGTTGTAGATAATCACATCTTTCAAGAGATCGTGTCCTCCGCTTTTTTCTAAAGCCTGTCATTTTTGACATATAATACAAACATATGTTTTTTTAAATGGAAACCATAGTTGGCCATGACTTCATAAAAAGCGCCATTTTTTAAGCTTTTTAGTGATATAAGCTATAATATCTTTTCTTCGAAAAATTACTGAGTTTTAGCCAATTCTTATCATTTTTAAACAATTTCACTTAGTTAGCCATGGAAACAAGTTCAATCGCAGTTGCTCTCAGAAATGTGAAGCTGTCACATCCAAACTTTGTAAATTAAAATAAACAAAAATTGTAAATATGAATTTTTCAAATGAAAAAAAGCGCGAAGATACTCGCGCATCAATAGAGTGGTTCCAACATGACTTTCATTATGACACACTACCCCCCACTCCCCCATAATGAAAGAAATGTTAAAAATTATTTATATCATAATTATGCAAACGCAGGGCTAGGAAGAGGTGGACTAATTGCATGGGCCTCCTCGATCAACTGACCTATCCATTTTATTTTTTTATGCGGTATGGTTAACAATAAGGTTTACAAAATAACCAATGAATTAAGAGAGGCACTTGAAGTGGCGGTACGAGAAAAGTTTAATTAAGTCCTTCTGTGAGAATAGGTAGTAATTCAGTTTTAAAAAGATGCAACTCAAATCAATGGCGGATTTTTTGAACATTTTCTAAAATAACTTAAAGTGTATGTAGTGATATAAATTTTTTAACTTTAGTTTTTGTAATGAAAATTGTAA